GGGCAATAGGGTTTTTTTTTGTTTGTTTTTTTTGTTTTTGCTTCTTACCATTTAATGCAGGGCCCGATATATGCTTTTTCTAATGTGCAGCAATCTCACCAGCTCATTCAATTCCTTGGTCCTATCACTCTTTCTCTTTTTTATTCACCAGGGAGCCCAGTTTAACTTAGCTCTTCAACCCCATGTGTGCTGCTGTACTCAAATGAAAGAGTTTTTCCTTGCTTAAAAAGAAGTTCGCTGTATCTATTAGAGTTTCATAAGCACTTAAATTGGCTGAAGCCATTCACCCTTTCACCCACCATACTCCTGCTCCTGTACAGGGTCAGCACAAGCATTTGGACAACCACACAGTGAACCATATCAGGGAACTGATTCAAATTAAAAATGAACTTGGCCCTGAAACATTTGTTTCTCCCAACCACGCCAGTTCCCTAGGCCTGTTCTGTTTGCAGCTGCACCAGCAATTGTGCCAGCACAAGGGAGGTGGGTAACACAGGGCTAGGGATGAGCAGCTCTTGTGGAAAAGAAAGGTTGGGACTGTTTTACTGCTGGCTTACGCAGCCAGAAGTGACACAAATTAGAATTTCACTGGTTCAGAAAAGAAATGATAGGAAGGTTTTGAATTCCTCAAGATTTATACTAAGTACTGTTTATATGGGGAACAAAAATGGGGCATGAGAGCTTTTTCTTCTATGTTTTTAATCAGTTATGATGTTCTTAGTGTGGAATGAGCTCATTATTTCGGGTATAAAGGAGATAGATCTCTGTATCCAGTTACCATGATCTGCTGAGCCAGTCTCATCTCAAGGTCCCTTTAGTTCACAGGCAGTAGGGTAACAAGCTATGACACACAGCTGCTCATGCAGCACCAGGTTTTAGTGTACTGCTTTAGTGTATGGTGTAACCAAGTGACCAAGCAGTGAGAGCCCAGAACGCCAAGCCACCTTTTCATTTCTTTTCTGGTAGTGTTATTGGCTTTAATTTTGTATCCGCCACCTGCCTGAGTAAATTTTAATGTATCATTCTGTGGTGTTTTTTTTACAGCAAGATGTAACTGGGACAAGGCTGTAAGAACTTGAAAATAGTAATTAAAATAGGAGATAAGATTACCCTTAGTGGTATCTTCCAAGAAGCCAATAATAGGGCAAGGTTATTCCAGTTATGTAAATCTTTTTAAGCTGAGCGACTAAAGGGAAATTTAATTTTAAAAGAACCAGCAAAGCTTGATTACATGGGGTCCACTATCTCTTACTAAAATGAAAGCCAGGAGAAAGTGAATCTACCTTCAGAAGCTTCTGAATAGTGCCAGAAAAGATACAAAGAGAAAATTTTTTCACTCCCTTGAAAGTACAGCAGTGGTGCAGCATAGTGGGCAGGAGCTCTGTGCTCAGCTGTAGTCAGAGCAGAGTGCAACCCAATATTCCCCCCCCCCCTTTTTTTTTACCAGTGATATAGTATTGCTGGAGCAAAGTCCCTACATTAGAGTCCACAGAGAAAACAACAAGTAAAGGAGATAAGGGAGTGCCATGCTTAGCACTTTTTCTCTGCCCAAACCTCTCAGGTTCATAACTTTTAATAAGGATCTTGGCAGCTTTACCCACGTACATTAATCTCAGGCAAGTCGTGAATTTTGGTCTGAATCCCATCATCTCATGGGGGGAAAAATGAATGACTTCTCAATCTGATCAAAGACCTTTTTGGCATCTGCAAATAGATTTAATGCGGAAGTCTTATTTAATGCAACAAAGGAAAATACAAATAATAATGTTGTAAAATTATCAGTTCCACATTTACTTTATATAAATCCCACTTGATCACGATAGGCCAGTTTAGGAAGAAGTACTAGGTTAGAGTGAAATAGTTCTTCTGCATGAGTGACACGGGAAACATAGGTAGGTCCCAAGCAGGCTTTTGACCCTGCAGGGACAGGCTCATGAAGAGTTCATTCTAGCAAATGGCTGGACCCACCAAAGAACGTGTATGGAAAAGCCTCACAATTTGTGTCTTGGATAGTTCCTTTATGTTTGTGTCCAACCCACACGGTGCCAGCTCAAAGCTTCTTTTCAGAGCAGGGAAAGTTGAATCTTGATACTTGGGGATGAGGTCCGGTCAACTTCTGACACTGAGTACCTTCTTTGGGCTTCCACTGGGAGATGCAAGAATCACTTTTGTGGGAATGGCATCAGAGCAGTTCCTCCAAGCATTAACTGCTTTGAACAGCCCAAGGTGCCACCACTCTCACATCCCCCTTAAAGCACTGGTGAAGGGAACCTCTGCTAGTCACACTCAGCCAACCTCGGGCAGGTGCTCAGGCTGCTGAGGTACTACTCTTATGCTGCTGTGGAGCGGGGGAGGAAGGAGAGCTGCCCCAAAGCTTACTTTGCTCCAGCTATCCACTGCCAGATGCCAGCAGAGCACTCGGCAGCACAGACAAGAAGGGGAACAGGAGATCAGTGTCTTCTTTAATAGGGGCAGGGCATCAGATGGGCAGCTCAGCCGTTGCTATCCTTTTGGTGCCCCATTCAGTTGCCCTTTCGAGGCTGCAGTTCAGCCAGTCCGAGTGCACTGTCACACTTGTGCTGTGCAGACTGAAGTGACTTGGCCCAGCTCAAATCCAAGTGCCTTTCTTAGCCATGGAAATCAGCTGCCAGCGCCGTCCTGCCATGGCTGACCAGATCCATCAACCTAAATGTGTTTGGAGAAGCATACTGAGCTCTGCACTGTTATGGTGACGTCCTAAAAATACTTCTTACCTTTTCTCACATGCTGTTTTCTGCCAGAGGCATCTTTCCCAAACCTATTTGTGTGACTTCTGAACAATCTGCATATCCAGTTTTAATAACGCTGTGGTGGGAAGCTTGTTTAGTACCTCACCTATTCAGAGAAGAAGACAAGCTGTGGAGAATAGAGGTTGATGGGTGCTGTTTTACCAGACCAGAAATAAGGAAATTATGAAATCAAGTGTCCTTAAAAAAAACATTGTTCTTCCTGACAGAACTGCCTCTCCTCTCAGAAAATGCTCTTTGTATTTTCCCACGCTAGGGCAACATTGTAATGGCCAAAAAGAAAATGACTCCAGTGATTTTAATGCAAATAATAAGTTGAGTGTTTGATACAATTTAATTGTCTGTGAGGTTTTAGTTTTTTGGCAGAATCCTTGTGAAGTGGAGGTAAGACAAAGTTAATGCATTTAGTGATAAACCTTCTCCAAAAAGTACTTGCTATCCCTGGGATTTCTGTGGGTGAACTTGGTTAAACATAGGCTGCCTGGCTGAGATTAACAGGAAATAGTAAATCGTAATCTGCACATGAACTCTAAGCATAGAGGATGATTGCTCAATCAGTAGTAGTAGTGGTAGCAGTTGTTGTCACAGTATTTCTTAAGTATTTGTTACGTGGTGTAACTGAATAGAAATATGCAATATAATTGAGCATCTGTTAGCATTACGCCCTCTGATATGCTGCTTCTGAGGGGAGGGATTTTGGAAGTGATTAGGCAGGTGCTTGGTGAGATTTTAAGAAGTATATAGGAGATGAATGTTTCCTTTGAAAATGTTAATAGAAGTTTATCCACGTAAGTATCCCAATTCCATTAAATTTCAGGCTCAGGGCCTTATGACTGATGGTGTCATCAATCAGACTGATACAAAGATAGGCTACAGGAGGGACGGCCCATTTTGTTTCCCTTCATAGTAAAAGCTCATATTAATGTGATCCTCCCCAAGCCTCAATCTAAGTAGAAAATAATTTAATTTTCCTATGCCAAAGCAAACCAACCAGTAAGCCTAACGACAGTGAAAGAGGTAAAAATGTGGTTCTAACAAGACACCTGACAAACTGCAGTGCTGCCCTAATTATTGTCTTGTCATATCTGTTTAGTGTGAATCATGTACTGAATAGATGCTGGAGCAGTGAGATGCTACGAGCCTGCTGCCTGTCCCAGCCCTGCCAAGGCAGCCTGCCGAGTACCCAAGGCTCTGGATGCATGTCAGGCCTTTTCCATATGTTTCTCCATGTGGAGACGCTGCCAAACTCTTGGGGCAGACATTGAAGTCTTGCTGTGTTTAAAAACGAGGTTAACACCATCCCTAGAACCTGCTGGCATGTGTATAGTGATGTAACGTTGTAGGAGAGGGTGGATCATCATCTTTTCCAGTCTTCCACTCGTTGCTTCCTATCTCTTCACAGGGATGATGGCTGGGTGAAAGCCAAGGTGTTTGCCACAGCGATGAGCTTCCGTTCGTTCATCTGCGCTGCTTTCAGCCGAGCGCTGCGCAGGTCCTGCCGGCACAGGAGGTAGCAGCGCTTATCTATCTTCGAGCGGGCTTCGAACCTTCGGCTGGATGCGCCTCACAGCGACTGAGAGCGCGGACCGAGAGCGCGCGTTCATTTCAGGGGTAAGATCTCCGTTTACGTGAGCGCAGGCTTTCACGGCTTTACTTTCGTACACGAGGAGTAACTCTGTAAGCCAAGGGTAGCGCAGAACGCCGTTCTGTCAGCACGCTGCCGATCGTTCACCGCGAGCCCTCGGCGCGCTCCAGGATGCCCGCGGAGCGAAGGCGGCGGAGGCCGAGCCCCGGGCGGGGATAAAAACAGCGAGTGCGCCGCGGCGCTGTGCGCCGGGGCTGGGCGTGCGCAGCGCTCCTAGCGGGGCCCGAGCCCTGCTCGGCGGGGGCGGTAATTTGGAGAGGATCCCTTGCCGGGCCGGTGCGTGCGCGCTCGTGTGTGTGTGTGTCTGTATGTGTGTGTGTCCGTGTGTGTGTCCGTGCGCCTTGGCAGCGGTAAGTGGAGGCTGGGCGGCTCCGACTGCCTGACGCCAGCGCGACGAGATCAATCCCGGCGCGGAGGCAGGGCGGGCGCGGGGCTCGCCCCCTCTCAGCGCCCGGCGGCCGTACCACAGCCGGTAACAGCTTCGCGGCCCTTCGCCTCTCCCCGCGGCGGGCGGCTGCGCCTTTCTCCTCCTTTTCTTTCTCCTCCCTGCTGCGCCGGGCCGGGCGAGGGTCCCCGGCGCGTCCGGGAGAAGCGGCTCCGTGCCTTCTCCCCGCCGGCACGATGGCGTCCCGCCCCGCTGCCGGCCCCCGCTTCCCGGGTAGGTGCGGGTGCCGCCGCGATTCGGAGGGAGGGGGCCCACGGGAAGCCGCTCCTCCGCTCGCGGCCGCCGCCCGGCCCCGCTCTCGCTGCCGGCCCCTTTGTGCCCCGGCCGGGGACGCGCGGCGCCTCGGGACGGGGCGAGCGCACGCCTTTGTTTTTACGGGGAGAAGCTTTTCTCCTCGGCCGGCCCGCAGTTGTGCCTGCGTCGTGTCTTAATCTTCCTTCCTTTCTCTCCGCAGCCCCCCTCCCTTTCTTTTTTCTTTTTTTTCTTTTTCTTTAATGACAAATCTCTGCTTAGAGGTCAAGGAAAGTTCACTTAATTTTTTTTTCCTTGCCGTTAGAAGGTTGGGATGCACGACATTTCCTCCTCCTCAGTGTAGTTTCTTCGTATGCTTGGGCTCTGCAGCCAGGTTATCTTATCCTGAATATGGATCTTCAAAGCTGATTGAAATCTGACGGTGTGTAAATATTCAGTTATACATTGGAGAGGATTCGGCCCAAATCCTGACTTATTTTTTTTGCATAAACCGAAGTCAGTGCGAGTTGTGACTGTGGAAGCGGCACGGCGCTTGCTCTTTTGTTAGCAGACCCGTCTCCAGATATGTGCTCTGACCTTCCAGTTTGCTGTTACGTTGGACAAATAACTGTAACTTAGCCTGAGCAATTATCGTTATTGTAGTGTATGTCAAGGGAAAAAAATTGTTTGCCGGGTGTTAATCGAGTTTTGAGTGTTATTTGAGGGAGAAGGAAAAGGTGTTACGAGATGGCTGTGCAGGTAGATGTGTATTCCAGACACAAGTGAGTGGGAAGCTCATTGTCGTGAAACGTGTCACAGTTTAATGCGTGTCATTAATGCTTAAAAATACAGCAACTGGAGGCTGACGCGTTGAGGAAAAAACTGTGCTTTACATATGTCATAGCTGATCCTTAAAAGCTGCTTTAGCATGCAGATGAGTAGTCCAGAAGAGAAAATGCTGTGTAGATGATTCTGCTTTCTTGTTGAAGATCTACTCCGGTAGATCCGTGTGTTTTTAAGCAGCGCTCTAGACCGGGACTAAGAGCTAAAGCTGACCTGGCCCACCGAGTGTGTGTGCAGCAGCCTCCAGCCCGTGAGGCTGCCGGCCTGCACCTTGGCCTGCCAGACAATGGGAACGGATCATGTGAGGAAAGTCGAGGTGTCAACATTGGCTTAATTTTTTCTTTTGCTTGTTTGTAATTACCGTGCTGAATTACGGGAGATTAGTTTGTTAGTTATAGCTGAGGAGCATTCCTTCTATTTCCACACTGAGCCGGAGAGCTATGCTGTGAGGCTTCTTAGGGGTTCTTATTGGATTTTGGAGCAACTTCGGAGTGCTCATCACTGTGACCTGAAGATCCTCAGAGCGCTGAGAGCTCTGCAGCCCCTTTTGGAATTCCTGCCTCGGTTTAGGGATCAAACCCTCTTAGTTTACTTCAGACTGCAAGGAGGAGCTTGAGAGAAATTTCCCTTGAGCTGGGTGATCCCGAGTCCTGCACAGCTACCAGGGAGGATCTGTTCAAGGCACGATCAGGTTACCCTAAGGGCAGGGATTTGTCCTTGCTGCAGTTTTGACCCCACAACCATTGGGAATGTGAACAAATAGATTTTTTTTTTCTTCCTCTTTGATTTGCCTTCTTGTGCACCCTTAAATACGTGATGATCCAATGCATTTGAGAAAAATGATTGAATAAGCAGATGAAACTCTTTCTGTTTCTGTATAAATATTAACTGTCAGATGCATGAAAGCTGATGAGCTTTTGCAGTTCCTCTGTGGCTTGAGCACAAAGTAAGGAGTTGAATGCCTGGCAAAGTAATACAATGGTTCAGAAAAGTACTTACTGTGTTCCGAAATACTGGAAAATTATTCAGGTTAAATTCTGAGTTCAGTTGCTTAGTATAAACATTTAAATTTTGAAAATGAAGGGGTTGTGGCTTTTTTTAATTGAAGCATTAATGCGCTGTATATCACATATGGCCAATGGTGTGCTTTCTGAGGTCCAAGCTGTGTGTGTGAAATAAAAGCTTATTCGAGTAGTCTTAGCAAGCCTAATGGAGGCATCATCTCAGCTTTATAAATAATGTAGGTTGTGCATAATGTGGAGTCCCTGGAGACTGCAGAGAAAGCATCATTACCAGCCTCTTCAACCTGCTGGAGATCTTAAATTGATTTACAGCACTGAACTGGTGCAAAATGATACATCAGGATGACATGGGGTCAACCTGTAAAAGTCTATGATGTGAGGCCGTTAGTTCAGTCATCATAATTAAACTGTATTATGAGGGCAGCAATGCAAGCGTGTGTGACACATCCCATTGTGCTTCAGATGGGTGGCTTAAGAATCCCATAAATGGAGCACCATGTTTATTATTTAGGTTATGCAAAGAGTAACTGAAATCTAAGCTCTTGGTGCTGTGCAGGTTAAATGCTGAACCAATCTAGGTCGACTCTTAACCTTTTCCTTACAGTCAGTAGCAGGTGAAATAGATGAATGCGTGTGCAGCGTGGAGGTGTGTGGAGCAGAAGTGATTGTGAGTGGGCATCTCTGCATTTGAGGTATTTTTTTCTCTAGTCTCCAAGTCTCCTCGACTTCACCTGCACGCTGTGCTGTCAGGTATCAAATGGGCAGTTAGGCAAAAAAAAAAAGCTGTTCCTCCCCTTAATGTTTTTGTCCTATGAAGTTCTGTAAGAGCCAGCGGAAATGTTTGTACGTTTGAATTCTTTTGTGAGACAGCGTTTATTTGCAACTTGAAATATATGAGCAAAATTATTTTAGAACAGAGGTGGTGATTATGAATATGGGTTGTTGCGGGTTATCCTGCGTTCTTGGTGAAGGCAACTGCAAGCTTCATGTTCATGTTTATCCTCTAAATAGCTTAGAAAGGAACATAGCGCACGGAAAAGTGTTTACTGTATTGCATACTAAACTGTCTTGCACTTCTGCTGATGCGATCACTGAGAAGTGTTCTGGGCAAATCCTGTTAACACTCTTCTTTCCAGGGGTCGGTGTGCCTCCAGAGTTGGAGACCAGCGACGTCTTTTATTGGCAGTTAAACCTACTTTTCTTACCCACATTGGCGAGAGTTCTATGCTGCATCTCTTGAGCTTTCTCCCAGTCCCCAGAAAGAAACATCTCTTATTTTTCAGTTGCAAAGGTAACGAAAAAGCAAATTTGGAGCAAGATGGGAGAAATAAAGAGATATGTAAATATAATATAATTGAAGTAGCTGTTTATGTATATATATTTATTATATAAAAATAGCTACTAGCTGTGAAAGAGGTGTTAGCCTTCAGGTTCAGTTGCATCTCACTAAGGCCTGGGAACGTGGCCTGACACGCCGTTGGCTTAAAGGCCGGCATACACGGGCATCCTGCGCTGTTCTGGCCGTTTTACTCCAGCTGTAGTGGTATAACTTCAGAAAGGCGTAGAGGATTTTTTTGCGTTTGAATAGCAGATTCTGCTTGAAGTGGAAAACCAGTGATTTTAAATTTGAGACTTTTCTCTCACTGATGAAGGTGTAGCCGTGCAGAATGCTGTATAACAACTATTTCCATGCGAATGTGGCTACTTAAGATTGAAGAGAAGGTAAAATGTTGGATTAGGCCTTTTGTGAAAGGCTTTGCAGAGAGTGGGTCCGGGGCTGATGAGAAGGACGCTCTGAGCTGTTAATGGCTGCCGCAAAGATCTCTATCCTCCTCTGAGAACAAACGCTCATTTGCATCAGAGAAGCTTTTTTGTGTTGTGTGTATTTGAGTGAGGCGTGGCTTTGTTTTTGAACGGGACAGAGAAAAAAGCATTTCATAACATAAGCAGACTAATTTCGAGGAATGTAAAGTATTTTACAGAATTAAGAAGTGTTGTATCTAATCTCTTCCCACTTGAATTTTTATGCCGGTATTTGTTGGCTTTGGGAGAATCTGCTTGCTGAATGGAGCGATGCTGGAGCACACTACTTCAGATTAGATTGGGTGAAGTCAAGTTTTCAGCGCTACCCAGTTGAAAACCCGGTATAGATGGGTCAATTGTTATCTTTTTTTTGTTTTAACTCCAGGAAGGATGGAGTTACCAGTGTAGAGAACTTGGCCACAACAGCTATTCTGAACACTTGCACCATGCAGTCATCGTGATGTAACTGTGTAATTGGTCTGGGCCAGTGTCACTTCTCTTTCAGTGCAGGCTACCCACAAGGGAGTGTGATGTTGGAATAGACGTCACCCATCTTTTTCATGTTGTTCCTCTCCCACCTTCTCCCTAGCATGCAGAGGCGAAGCATGGAGTACAAGGAGGAAGACGAGTTGTTCTTAAGCATGCCTTTACATAAAGCATTGTATTTAGGCAGTGCTCAAAGCAGTATCAGCTAAAGGCAACTTTTATGTTGACTTGGCATGTCGGCTGATCCTACGATCAACTCCATATTTGTTTGATTATAAACTCTTTCTGATGTGGAAACAAATGAGATTGTCTGAATAGCATATAGCGGTGTTTAGAACTTGCAAGATTTGTCATTCAAATCAATTAAATGCTAGTCCACATCACAGTGACCTGTGACTATCAAGATGCTGCTGGTTAACTTGGAAATCGGATATCCTTTTTTTTTTTTTTTTTCCCCTGCTAAGGGAATTTTAGACTGTCTTGAATATGTTCTCCTGCTTCTGTGCACATCATGTGTTGAGAGTCATCTGTATGCCAGCTTGAACTGCTGGACCTGGAAATTATCGTTTTACCATATATTTTGTGTGTAAGGTTGGGTTTGGGGATTTACTCTGTTAGAGTTTCTTCTCCAGAATGTATGTGTTTAAAAGCTTTTCCAGGTGGAGGGAAGCAAATGAACAAAAAGCCATGTATGCATACAGAGTTAACACTCACAAGGCAGCTCAAAAAGGGTTTTATGATTCCCAGGAAAAACTTTGTGTTCACATTCCTTGTATCATACTGTGGCCATAGTTGATAACTCTTTTGCTCGCTTTTCTTCCTCTGTTT